GATCCTTGAGGTCCCTTCCAACCCGGGTGATTCTGTGATTCTGTGATAACTTCTATAAAAGCAGAAGTCTGGGAGGAACAAAATTACTTTAAAGCCAACTGCTTTTCACAATGAGGCACATTTATAATCCTCACTAACATAAACATTTGGCTCTTATTTGCAAGGGCTGCCCTCATGCCTAATCAGATTGTCCATCCAGTTCTACCATTGGGGATGGGAAAAATATTTTCGTTTAGTGGCAAACCTCAGCTGCAGTGTGGCAACGGTGTTCATTCTCTAATGATATTCCAGGTCAGTTTTGCTGTTATCAGTATACAGTTTTGCACCTTGCAACCTAAATCAGTGACCTGTAAGACAGTGGAAGCAAGAGACACAACCACAATCCCATGCTGAACAACTGCTCACTGAGAAGATAGTTTAGTAACATCTATTGAGCAACCAGTGGGCACAAAGGCACTGGAAACAAAATTTCTTCATGTAAACAATTAACAAATCTCTTTCAATTAACCAAATGCTGCTTGCATACAGCAGTGGCACTAAAAAGCTGTACTGAAAGGCATTCAGAAGCATTATCACTGCTTAGTTTCAGTAGCACTGTCTGAACAATTAGAGGTACAGAAGTTCTCACTGTACATTTCACGTCCATCATGAAAGCCTTTTTTACTTCCTGACCCTAAGAAATCTTACACTGGCTTTCTTGTCATCTACAGACAGTTTACTGTCCTCTGATGTAGAGTTTTCTCCTTCTCTTGGCTTGCTGTCTTTCAGTGAATAATGAATTTCTCAGACTGTGGTCTATTGTTTCCATGGCTGGTAAATGTACAGCTCTGCTAGCAAAATATAGTAATGCAGTTCATTGTGTTCCTTCATGCAGCTGCTAAATTCAAGCTATTGTTTATTATTTTTTGCACGTAACTCTTGTGTTTACAATTACAATTTACTCTTGTGACAATACAAAAGAAGCCCTAAAGTACTCTGGATAGAGCAATGCCCAGCCAGTACAGAACCAGGTAAAAATGAAAATAGTCTTTATGCCTTGGAACCGTATTTCCAAATGACTAACCTGGGTGGTGTCTTCTCTAGCCGAGGCAGCAGTAAGAATTGGGCAAGTCAATCAGAGGAACAAATGGGAAGGATGGGACGAATACAAGGGTGCAAAAAAAACCTCGTCAGTGGTTTCTGCTCAATTTGTATCTGTTTGGCTGCTGCACGCACAGAAGCATTCTCACAGCTATTCCCTTCATTTCTCTCAGAAATCTGCATCAAAATGTTGTTTGTACTCAGTAAGTAATAGCTCTAGCCAACAAACATGCTGAAAGCGCAAGGACAGTAGAAATTCAGCCCTACTGAGGAAAATTCTAATCCAACTCAATTTGGCAGCACAAATCTCTTACATAACTTGTGAACTAGAGGACAGTCTGATCATCTGGGAACATTGATTTGTTCTTCTCAAGACATTAAACAAAAGTGGCAACTTTCCATAACAGATTTTCCTTTGCTTTTCAAGGCATAATGTTGCAAGAAAGGCATCACTGCTAATGATACATTTCTAATATAATAAAAAAAATGCTTTTATATGACAAATCAATTATACTGGAGTGGTATACAAATTTAAACCATAATGCAGAGAGGCAGAACGGTGCCTGAGACACAAACTTATAGTAGTAGGTCTCCAAAACAATGATTTCTGAAGGAAAAGTGCATTTCTGAAAGCTGACTGCTTACATGAGAACATCTTACACAGGCCTCACTGAACTTCTCATGAGAGTAAAGAAGTCTGAAAGACCCCAAGCATGTGCAAACCACCAACAGAACAGGCACCATCTGTAACCACCTTAAAAAGTAAAAAAAAAAAAATAATCAAACCAACAAACAACTCTCTCCTTTTTCCACCTGAGATACACAGCAATAGGGCATAAAAGCTCCATTCATAAACCAATTGTCAACAAAGAGTCATATTATTTACATGTTGCAAAATGAAGTACACATTTACTGAATACCAGTATTTACAGCGTGAAATAACCCTGAACTGATACAATGCATTCAAGAGTTACAGTCATATTTTTGAAATAAAGATGCTGGAAAACATTAGGAAGGCAAGAAAAACTTATATACAGAATGGGAAAACTAATCTTACAGAACAAATACACAAAGAATGAAGAGTTTGCAGAATGTCAGAGGATCTTTCACTTGAAATCATCTCTAATAAGTCTGATCAAAAAGCTGAAGGTGAAGGCTAAGTTGGAAAGTTAAGTTGATGAAAATTGTCTAACTCAATTAAGGGAGGAGAAAAAAAAAGTAATACATATATATATATACACATACACACTTTATCTTCTAAGAAAACCACAGTAACTCCTATGACTTACAGAGTACCTTAAAAATCCCCAAACCATTTTACCTGTGATTTTTAGATTTCCTTCTCTAAATGTGGGAGTTTTTGCAATTGTTTTAAAATACCACACCTACCACAAGAAGTGACTTGCCTAGATGTCCAGTTACATCCCCCCAGTTAATCCCTTCACATGATTAGAATTACTTGATTTACAACCTTCACTTGTAATGGTCTTCATATCTTTAATGCAGTACTGCCAGTGCAGTAAGTCATACCAATTGCACAGAAAATACAGCTGTAGAGGACAAAAAAGAGGCAGTAAACAAGTACTTTCAAGTGAGACCCTTCAGCACAACTGCCTTACGTAAATCCAGCAGGCAGTAACCAAATTCGGTCACCTCACCACAAATTATTGTTTCCAGCATGACAGGAAATATATTCTGTAGAACATACACTCAGCACTAACCATGATCTCATCTGAGCCTCTTGATGGTTGCCAAGATCTGTGCATTACAGAATTGTTGTTACATAGGACAACGATCCATATGTAATGTTAATTACTTGGTTTTCACCTCATAATTTGTTTGTCAAATGGTTGAAATGTTTTTACAGTTGTACTGAGAAGCACTTGCTGCAAAGCATGAGGTCCATTATAGACATTTTTTCATCTGTACAAGGAATGTGCCACAGTGATGTACACTGACATCAGAATTGGTGTTATTGTACAGGAGCTATTCCATGCACTCTCTGTTCAGTTTTTCACATTAACACAGAGAAAGAACAGTGACTGCTTAATCTCTAGTACACATGCAGTTGTAGTAGATAAGAGAACAAAAGGAAATTTAAACTAGAAAATCTATTCACAGGGAAATTCCTATTGATATTTTCTCCATTATGGTTGAAAATAAGTTGCAAAACTGTAAGAATTTGCTAAGAATAGATGGCAAGAGGAATAAACAAAAAGGTCTAGTTAAAATCCTATCATGAATTCAAGTTATTATTCTTTGTAGGAGAAATTACTTTCTTACACAGAATTCACAAAAGGATGAAAGAAATGCAGCCTCACATGTTCACAGGTGCTTGCCTCAGTCTTATCTCCAAACAGTGCTAAAGGGAAGGCAGTCTGTTTTGATCTTTCAATCTGACATTTATATAAACAATTATACATCACAGAATTGAAGCGCCAGTTTCAAAACAAGCGTTTAGAAACCACACCAACTTAGGAAATAAGGAGACTGAGACCTGGCATGAGAAAGTGATGCTCATTATTTTATTGCCTTGGGCCACCAGATGCTGTATGCAAAATCTGCTTGGGATTGGACAAGGGAATAGCTAATCAATCTTACTCTGCCAGTTCTTACTTTTGCAGCAATACACTGCATTTCAGTAGTTTAACAGCTTTCGATTCAACAGACACTACTGTTGGATCAGAACAATGGAATTAAGCTCTGAAAAGCAGCACTTCAAAGTGCAGGACATAATAGTTAGGGATGAGCAAAAATATAAATACCTGTAAGCACAGAACTAATTAATGATGGTATTTTAAAGATGTGATATAAGCTCATATTTTATGCATCCATTAAGTATTACCACCACACAAGCAGAAGATTCAAGACAGGACAACAGAACAGTAAGTGCTCACCTCAAGGATCTGATATGATAGTAACATAGTTTCAACCTATCACTATGAGCTGTATCAGCTGCTACAAACCATTACTCCTTAAATATTAATGTTAGTGCCACAACAACAAAAATCAAATACCGTGTTCATTTCTACAGAAACAACCAGGCTGTCTTCTCCCCTAAACTCATCCCAAGTAAGTGTATTATCTTCCAGGAAGTAATATTCATCAACAATATTGGACAAAGGTAAATGTACAAAGATGCAGAAGTCAGAAGTTCATGAAAAACTGATCAATGTAATCAGACAGAAGTTTGCTTGTAGTTCTTCGTATCCAACACCTTCTTGCCACACATTGAGCAGATGCCTACAAACACACAAAGGTGTGTAAATTATTAAACAGCCATTATCTTTTCTAGTTAGTATGATTTTGTAAGGATAATTTTCAAGAAACTGTTGAAGATTTCAACTTGACAATCTACCCATGCACCTTCTCACCAGATACTGCACGTTCAGAAGTAGTAATATGATTTTTAACACTGATTAATATTTGCAGTATATATGTAATACTTCTGCTTAAAAAATAAACTCTGGGAGCATTATGATTCACAGCAGCACCTGAAGCCTCTAATTTGCTGAACTACTGAAGGACAGCCAGGAAAGGATCCCACGGGTAAAAATAGCATGTTACCAAACTTTATAATTCCTGTAGCCTGAGATGGACAGAAAGTAGCTAGGCTAAGGAAATACAGGCACCAAGAAACTGGTTGCTAAATGAAAGATTAACTGACAATTGAGAAAGCTGATAAGAATACAATTTCAAAGAATTAAGCTAATTACAGAGTGCAAGAGAGGATTATAATGGACACCAAGAATAGCTGAGAGTTGAAGTAGAGACAACTAATGACCCAGAGGACTTTGACCTAAACACAAACAGTGGTCAGAAGACTGGAGCAGCAAAAAGTACACAAGTTTGGCAGGGACAGAAGGGAGAGTTTCCTCAATGTTTCCCCCTTTTTCTAAAACAGAAAGGTGCCAAATATCCTGTCCAGTAGGACGCATCTTGCTTTGAGAGATCAGCAGACCAAAAATAAATAAATAATTAAATAAAAATTAACTGACAGCTATTTCTGTTGCATCTCTACAAATCATGACTTCACATATAGGCTTCATTTGATTGGACACACATCTAAGAGTCCACTAGAAAAGAGAACAGTGGGGAACACGCTTTGTTATTTACTTCAGAGTTCGAACAGTGGGGAACATGCTTTGTTATTTACTTCAGAGTTCAAAATCCATCCCATACAGCGTTCACTCCACATCTAAAGTGAGGAGCAACAAGCTTTTTAGATGGTATCTAGATTTCAGAGACATGCAACAGTTGAAGCATCAAGACTGCAGCTGCTTCTAGAAATATGCTGCAATCTGAGCATCTCTGATGTTCAGAATCAGAATCTAACATATTTGAAGTTTAACTTCTGATATTTTTGAGGTTTCTACCTGGAAGGATGCACAAGCAGACAAAGATAAAATCCTGATGCCCACCCAAAATGACGAGAAATTTAAGAAATAACAAGGTTCTATCATATGGAATTCAGACGGCCATCTGGTGAGCATCTAGCAACTAGAAAAAGCAGCTCTCCTTTAGCAGACTGCTAAACCACGTACTCAGTGACACAGTGCACAGTTGTAGAACAACTAACATTATTCCATAAAACTCATTACTAGTTAGCTTTGACTCTACATCTAACAATTTGTCCACCCCACGTCTGCGTGCTAAGTGAATTCTTCAATATTAATAAGGTAACTGAGTTATGTTGCTCTATTTCCTCCCCACATGGATTACAAGTTTGAGCCCTTTTGCTTAGCCTCTCAAACTCACAAGACTGATAAAGTTTTATATTCTCCAGTAGAGATTTCATAAGGGTTCTGAGTCACTGTTATTACAATGTTTGACCATCCTCGTAGTGAAAATTGATTTATTTATATGGAATTCAAGACTTCTATTCTACACTCTTCTCCATCACTGTGCACTGTGATGGAATCAGAGAGTCATGACTCTCTGACTCCATCTTTTCTACACCTTCATATTAGTAGTTGAAGACTGAACTCATCACAGCATTCTCTTTGCAATACAGAACAAACTCAAGAGTTCTACTTGTCTCTAATTTCAAACCAAAGTGGGGTAATATGGTACTCAGTGAAACTCACCTTTTTTATAGGCACATCCTTGACAGTAGTGAGACCCAGGCTGATGGACAGAACTCTTACAAATTCGACATATTGCAAATTTGTTCTTTCCATAAGGATCAAACCTGGAAAAAAAGGAGAAGTACTTTATTTATGCACACTAAAATAAAGTACTTCCTTCACCTCATACTAAAAGCATTATGTGAGAGGACACAGACAGAAACTCCAGCAAAAACTGTAACCAAGAAAAGGGACATAAAGAAGTCTACTCTAACAGTCTACAGAATTCCTATAGAAAAACTCCCACTTTCTCCATTATGAGAGATTTCTTGCATTACAGAGATAAAATTAATAAACGCTGAACTAAAACCATATATTTTTATTAAGATACAAGCCTATTTTGAACTCCAAATACATTCCAGCAGTGGTTTGCTCCTGGCATAAGATAACAGAACATGCTTTAGACATAAAAGAGATGCTCAAGAGATTCAACAGGCAATCTTAGCATGGAAGATCACAGAATCATTTGAGTTGGAAGGGACCTTTAAATGTCACATACTCTAACTCTCCTGAAACAGGGACAGATGGCCTTTTCAGCTCCTCTCCTAACACAAACACCAATTCCTACCAATTTTAGGGATGACTGCAGCAATATAGCTACCCAGGCTCTGTAATTCCACAGAAAGCCTCCATGAAATACATACAGACACACTTTCACCAAGGAATAACATGTTGTAACTCTCTCCAAAAAAAAAGATTAATGTGTATTTTGGACAAGTTTTGAGGAGTTACCCTGCTTTGTGAGAAAGTGAGATCTCAATTACAGAAAATTACCTTTTTTTAAAAAAAAAAAAGGTGAAATCAGGATCAAATACTAACCTTGCTTTCTTTGAGGTCAATGCCTTGTTTTCGTTCAGCTTTCGGCCACCGCTTTCTATAAAGAGAATACAAGCACAAGGCAATACATACATTAAATAATAAATACATTTCTACAGTTTGAAGCACACTAGAAAGAGCTCAACTTCCAGCTGCCATACGTGTGCACGTGTGCTCAGAGTGACGAGAAGCACACAGCACAAAGAATGGGTAGGCACTGTGTATCATTCTTCAATACAAGGGAAAAGATCATCACAGAAACACAGAATCATAGAATGGCTTAGGTTGGAAGGGGCCCCAAGGACTGTCAAGTTCCAACTCCCTGCCTCAGGCTGGGCCACCAACCTCCAGATCTGGTACTAAACCAGGCTGCCCAGGGCCCCATCCAACCTGGTGCTGGGAAGGGGCATTCACAGCCTCTCTGGGCAGCCTGTTCCAGCACCTTACTACTGTAAGTAGTAGTAAGTTCGGTGAAGAAATTCCCCCTGACATCCAATCTAAATCTTCCCTCCTTGAGCTTAAAACCATTCCCCCTTGTCCTATCGCCATCTACTCAAGTAAAAAGTTGATTCCTCCTCCCCCCCCCCCAGTTTATGATTCCCTTTTAAATACTGGAAGGCTGCAGTGAGATGGACACGTTCAACTCCAGAAAGCTCAAGGCAAACAAACCTTCACTGCGCTCAAAGGAAACTAGAGCAGCGAAGAGCCAACCCAGTAACTACCGCGGAGGCCGGGGCTGCGACAGCCCGCGCACCTCGGTTAGACCCGCGGTGAACACCGTGCGGCTGACGCTACCTGTGGTGTTTCTCGCCCCATCCTTCCACGTATCAGGAGTGATCACCGTGCCCAACTTCCTCTCACCTGCGGAAAGAATAGCAACGATTAGAACTGCGCTGCCCGCCGCCCCCAACCCCCGCCCGATGCCGGGAACCCCTCCGAGCCCACCACACTCACACTTCTCGCACACCATGGCGGCTCAACATAACAACCGCCTCTTCCGGGCCCGCCCCGGAGCTGACGCCATCCCGTTGCCGGGCGGCCGGCGTCCCGTGTAAGGGCCGGGTTGTGAGAGCTCGGGGGTCGTTATTCTGCCACGAAAAAAAGCCCTTTTGGCCCCCTGAGCGCTCTGAGCGCCTTGCTGGCGCCGCTCGCCCCGCTGCAGGTGGGCGGCGGCGCGGCGCGATGAGGGAGGCAGAGCTGAGGAGGCTGCTGGCCGCCAACCTGCTCTGCGCCGTCTCCATCGTCCTGACGGCACTCGTGCCTGCTTTGTTTCTGGACGGGTTCTCGGTTTTGGGCACGCACCTCACGTGGCTGTGTGTTTGTTCTGTTTGTGTTAGCGTCCTTAACGTAACCTTGTGTTTAATCCTAAAGCCATATCCGTCTTCTAAGAGAAGCTCGCTGTCTAACAAGGTAAGATTTGGTGGTTTTTTTTTTCCTTAGATTCCTACCGAGTGATGTGGAGAGGATGCAAAGTCTGTCACCAAAATGATGGGGTGGGAAAGAATTTACAACTTTTGGTGGTGAATTCTTGTTTTCCATGAGTGAGCACGTGCTGAAGCTGTTGCAGAGTTTAATTCTGTCTGGACCTGCCAGCAGCCCGCTGGAATGAGCCATCCCTGCCACTTGTTGTCCACAGGTTGTGGTTTGTAGCCAGGAGACAACACTGGCCACCAGCAATTTTCCTGCTGGCAGGATTCGGGGAGCACCAGAATGGGCACAAAAGCCACTTCACATTCTAGGCCTGACCTTCAGTATTGCTAAGAGATGCTTCAGTCTTGCGTAGTTTCTCACATGTAGGATTTGAGATGGAAAAGAGGGAGCAGCTCGTTACTACTAAAAGTTGATGAGGCAGCGACAGCTGCCCAGAGAAGCTGTGATGCCCCATCCCTGGAGGTGTCAAGGCCAGGTTGCATGGGGCCGTAGACAGCCTGAGCTGGTGGGGAGCAGCCCTGCCTGTGGCAGGGGGTTGGAACGGGGTGGACTTTGAGGCCCCTTCCAACCTAAGCTATTCTGTGATTCTCTGAAAGTTGGTAAAGTTTCAAAAAGTGAAGTTGAAAGGTGTCAAAATGATTGCATTTCCTTGAATGACTAAATGTGCACACAGAAGAATCTGGGAGATTTTTTTGTAGTTACAGTTTGTGACAGGACCATTAAGGCATGGATCCCAATATAACTGGTTACAAGAGAGCACGTTTGGCATAAAACACAGCTGGATCAGGAATGGTAGAATACAATTTGAAGTCAGCTTAGTCGTGCACTCCCACCAGCTGAGACAGACAGTGCGCTTACAGTGATTCTTAAAGAGTTAAGCAGTCATCCAAGAAAGTGGTATCTTTGTATGTAAAACTGTTAACTGCTCACAGAGGGGATGTCAAATACATGAAATCATCATGGAAAACAAGTTTTTTAACCATCTTTTATTTGAAAATGAAGTAGGCTTATGTGTTCTAGGTGAGGTTTCATCCCAGCCTAGTATAAATAATAAATATCAAAGAAGCGGACAAGTGAGATATGGATTTCCATTTGTGACCTGATCAGAACAGGCCTAGCCAGGTGTGTTTATCCAGTGTCCGTCCTTCTGTATGATATAGTGAGTACCCAGAAGCTGTCATTTAATTTCCTAGACAGTTACACGTAGATCTACAGATAGCCACAGACACTTTTCAAAAGGATTTAGTATATACGATGCCAAGTTGCAAAACAGAGTCGCTTTAATTACTTATGGTTTTAAATACCTCTTTTGATTCTGAACGTCTTTTTTTCATACTATGTACTTTCTTCCTTTGAAATTTTTTAAACTTTCATTAAAAGGCAGCTTTCACAGAATGTGAAACCATCTCTGGTTATACTGTCATTTCCAGTTATTTACTTTATGATTGTTTTATTATAATAAGATGGATGAAGAAACGTTGGATGCAGTGAGTGTGGTCTTTTTTAATTCATTGTTTAAAGGATACCTGTTTGAATACATACTGTGCTGTAGGTAGCTAAAATTGAATATCGAAAGAAAGAGTAGTGTGTGATGCTGTTGATTAGATACTATAAGCTAAGTATGTTATTTATATTCTCTTTACTTTTGAAACTTTATTCTGATATTTTATTGCTCTTTTTTAGATATCCAGATTTCTAAAATGCTGTATATACTTTTTCATGTCTTGCATACTATTTCATGCGATTATTGTTCTTTATGGAGCACCTCTCATAGAGTAAGTCAGAAGACCCTATTTTTCTCTAAACGCTTTAAGGGGGAGTTCTCCTAGCACATATTGGTATAAATCCTTACATATTATTTGGTACATTACAAGTTAAAAAAATAAGCTCTTGGCTGGAGGAAGCAGGGTGGCTGTCTTTATAGAAGTTGGCTCTTAGACTTTTATGTGTTTGAAGATCTGTTCTGTGAGACAGTTGAAGACAACTTGTTTTACTTTAATATTTGTTCTGTGTAGGGGTACAACTATTTTCCATGTTTCACGTTTGTATGGGTACAAACGCTTGCTAAGTTTTGTTTAATTATTTTTCTCCTAAGATTATAAAATACACATCTTGCATATCTTTCATCCTTTTATATAAGTAAATTTTTAGGCATAATTAAATAAGGAAAATAGGAGAACCAGAAAGCAATCTGATTTCTGAGAGAGTTGACAAGTTACAGACTAACAGTGGTGTTTGGTTTGATGGCTGCTTCCACAATGTCAAACTAGAAAAATGAGCTGAATAATGAAGTAAATATCCAAGCATTCAAAATGTATGGGATAAACCTGTATTTAAAATGATACAGATATCAGGGGCTAATAAACTACATTTCAGTCTTTGCTGAGGCAACAGATGATAGTGATTTTCTTCTACCCTTTTGAACTGTTCTAGAATAAGAAAAAGCTTTATGCTTATACGTGAGGCTTAAGAAAGCACGTGTGCTTTCACAAGTTGATTGAGAATTTTTTTTTCCTAAATCTTGAAACTCTTAGAAAATTAGTATTTATAACATAATTTTGTTATATTGCTTCTTTGTAGGTCAGTGACTGAGACATTTTTGTTTGCAGTTCTCTTGTCTACCTTTACTACTTTACAATGTTTATGTTTGCTGGGACCAAACGTACAAGCTTGGATACGAGTATTTAGTAGAAATGGGTAAGTTCTGTTCTATTCTAATTTTCAACCAGGATAAAAATTGACTGAATTGATGTGAATATCATAGAATTATTTTTATTATTTTACTTTGGGGAAGGAAACTCTCTGAATTGTTGTGTCACTTTTGTAATTACAAGCCTTTGAGAGCTTTTCTGACAAAAATATTTTTTTATTTTTTATTTTAAATATTATTTATTTTGAAGACACTGGTTCAGAAAACTGGCCTTTTACTTCTGGTATCCAGAGACCAAGCCTTACTTTGTATGTGCTTAGAGGAGGTAAAAGTTTCAAATGAGCATTTTACTGGTGTGAAAGCATCCTGCAGTCCAGTATAATGATTATAATAAAGAGGAGAGTGAGTGAGTGAGCTGTAGCGGAAAAATCTCATGCTTGATCCAATGTTAGCTCTATAAAAACAACTGTTAGAGTAGGAATAGCAGCTAAAATCAGTATTATTTTAACAGTATTTTTAACTTGGATGTAATTGTGAAAATAATGTATGATCTACTGTCACCTTAATTATGTAATCTTTGCCCTTGTTCTTTTTCAAATTTAAAGAAAGCTTTCCTCAGTGTCAGGTTTCTTTTTTTTTTTTTTTTTTCCAAGAGCACATTTAAATGAATGTAACTTTTTTTTTCCTAGTAAAAGCCATTACATTAGCATGGGTAATATGTTCTCCAGAAGTATTCTATCTCTTCTGCCTTTTTTCACATGCTAAATAACAGGACTGTTGAAAGATTGGACTCTGAAACATAAAGAAGCTCCACATACACTTGAAGTTTAGTAAGATGTTAGTGTTCGTTCCCTTATAACAGCTCATAAGGGTAACTTCTCATCTCAGAAGAAAACAAAAAGTTCTATCCTTCCGCTGACTGAAGGGAGTTACATTCAGTTACTCTGCATAGAGAAGATCTTAAATAAGAAATTGAAAACTGTTTATAGTAGTTTATATATTGGCTTTTGTTTGTATGAGTTCTCAGCTTACGGAGAAGTATCTAAATCCTTGTGCACGTTGGTTATGCTTGGTTTTTATTTTCAGTGGAACGAGTGAATAGGGTAATAAAAATGATACCTCGCAAGAATTTAATGAAATCATAGTGTTATTTAGCCAAAACAAATCATTGCTGATTCACTTGTTAGTCTGTGGAAGTTTTGCAACTGGAGAGAATAGGTGAAATCAAGTAAGAAACGTTTGACAACTGCCAGTCTTTATGCCAGGTTAGATTTTAAATGCATGTCTTTCTCTTTCCTAGCCCAGTTCTTCCTGTTATTTCAGCATAATTATTGCATAGGAAACAGGATTATCTTGCTATGATGTTTTTGTACATACCTGTTAGTAGGGAGCCATATGACTTTATCTGATTAGATGTGCATTTAGTAATGATGTTTGGTTATGCAACCCTTTCAATGGAAATAGATTATGGAGAAATATTGTAGCAAGTTTTTTATGGGTCACAGTAAGGTGCCCTTTTGAAAACAAGTCTGTGTTTTTTCATTTAACTTCATGAATGAGTTGCAAGTAACTTAGATGTTAACTGAGTGTAGGAATGATTTATTCAAAGGTTATATCCTGGCTTAACCACATGGAATGAGGTGGGACTGGTTGAAAAGGGCATTTAGGTAAGATCAGCATGGCTGCGTGCCTTGAAGGAAATGTTTAGAGAATTGAATTGCAGTGGCACAACAAGCTGGAAAGTCTGAGTAGGAGTGTAGTGCAGAATGAAAGAGGAATTGTTTAAAAAGTATGTGTACAACTTAGACTGAAGTAATCATTGACATTTATGTTTGTTGCTGTTGTTTGCAGTATTTGTAAGATTGAGATCAGCTGTGCCTTTGTCTTTGCAGAAATGTAGGAGAGGGCATCTATAAAAAGAAAGTTTATCTTAATAAATCAAACGTAAACAAGTAATAGATTTTAATATTAATTAGCCA